ATCGTACATTTAATTCAATAACCAACATTATAGGTTTTTCATATGAACGCCCTGAGGAATGGAGGAATGAAAATCCAAGCTGTGATGGTAAATCACAATCACCAATTAACATTGATTACAATGAAAACGACGTATTAATGCAGGATATTATATCGCTCAAGTGGAATGGGTATGAAAACACACCCGATATTATAACCGGGGCTAATAACGGACACACAAGTAAATCTTTACATCTATTACATACACAGTACTATCGCAAGATTCAATCTTTAGACTACTCAGACCAAAAATGAACCCATCTCATGATATGTTTTTAGTCAAAATCATTCCCAAGTGGGCGGATGAATCTAGAAGACCCTATTTATCTGGTGGACCTCTCAGTAGTCGATACGTTCTCCAAGAATCCCACTTTCATTGGGGGGCGGATAACAATGTTGGAAGCGAACACACGGTCAATGGAAAAAAGTAAGATACTTATTAACACTGTTCCGTTACTGTTTACATTTCATTATGGTATACTTTCTAATCCAAATTCTGTATTGGAACCATTAAAGGTTCGTCCTTGAGGCCCACATGGTACACTGGAAACTCGATTACGGTTCATTCTCAGCAGCCGTTGAACAACCTGATGGACTCGCAGTAGTTGGATCGTTCTATGATGTAAAACTTACGATTACTATTGTCGGGAATGGAGAAAAAAAATCCTCCATTCCTGGAAATTCATACAGAAAAAAAGTAATCAGAGAAATCTAAAACTGTTCATTAAAGTTAACATATAACTTAATTGAACAAAACAATGATACACAAATGATATATGATAGTACGATATGATGCACCAAATTCTGCAGCGTATTGTGAATTTATTAGCAAAAACAACTATGCTATATGAAGCCAAAAACCATTTCCCACTTGTACTATATCACTCTTGCTTGTTAAGTCTCCTATTCCATGATTCCTAACATACAACAAAAATTCTTTGTATGATTGCCTCTTCGTCGGTGTGAAATGCAGCACAATTTTTAATAGTAGTGTAATTCCAGATCAACAATATACAGGACAAAT